TGTTAAAACTAACAATGGACCATCACTACTATGGAAGACCCGCTAACACTGCAAAAAGTCCAATTTTGCACTTATTTTATGAGTTCCGTGAAGACCAATTTCGCGCTGGTTCTAACAAACCGAAATCTACAAGATCAAATTTTATGGGAGGATATGATGCAGTTCAACGGATTTTTAATTCTTTCCATCAACTGGAACATCAGACAGAGCAAGCGACCAAACTAAAACTTAAAAAATTCAGCAGAAAACTGGACCGATAAAAGAATCCAAACGGCTAGCCTGGTGCACTGCAGACAAAAAAACCTACATAATTAGTCAAATTAAACCCTATTTTTATATGCCAGTAAGATACGCGCAGTAGGTGAGACCAACCTTGACCGTACGAAAATAAAAACTTTTCATAAAATGGTCTGCGCAGTGGTTGCGAGAAGAATCATAAATTGGCCATTATTATTGCTTTTTGGGTTTAAATCGGACATTCCACAGCTGTTAGAAGGGATTAAAAAAATTACGAAAAAGAGTGGCAATATTTCAGTTTCGTCGCTCAAAATCTGGTCCCACAAATGTTCAACAACACGAGACTGCTAGTATTCATACACGACGAGAAGTCGCAGTACCTGATGAAAATTCTTAACGATGAACTAATGCGATATGAAGAATCCGTGAAGCTACGCCCGGCACTACCCCGTCTCCCATGCAATTACGTGAATTCTCTCATTTTTGTGAGTTTTTGCAGTGACCCCATATAGAAACATTAAAGTATACAAATTACACACAAGCGGCATATATTCGGGGAAGGACGGGAATCACCGATCCACTAAGTATTCAGTGAACATCTGATTAATCTGCAAAACTTGAGTAAAAGTACAGCAAAAGAAAAGAATAACCTTGACGAAGAAAGTGAAAAGAAATAGGGGAAGTGTGAGAAAAAATCTAACCAGATGACTCCAGGCTGGAATACACCAGGCCTGCCGGTGCGGTTACGCGTTTTTGCATATATGTAAATTGCAAAAACGCATATTGGGAAGAGGCTGTGTGTGTGTGT